GTTGTCCAGCATCAGCGCTGACGCCACGAAATTTTACTACGTCCTGGCACAGCTGGAACTGCAACACGCAGCAGAAGTACGAGACTTAATAGTTGCCCCACCGGCCGCAAACAAGTTTGATACTTTGAAGACGGAGCTGATACGAAGACTGTCCGCTTCCCAGGAACGAAAGATCAAACAGCTGTTAATGCACGAGGAGATAGGAGACAGAAAGCCGACGCAATTCCTCCGGCATTTGCAGCACCTAGCTGGAGCAAATGTACCAGCTGAGTTCATCAGAACAATGTGGGCAAGCCGACTTCCTACACACCTGCAGACCTGCATCGCCGCGCAGCAAACGAAGATGTCGCTAGAAGACTTGGCCGAGCTTGCAGACCGGGTAAATGACGTTGTTCCTCCAACTATGCTAGCCAACAGTCAAGTACTTGCGCAAGTAGCTAGTACGTCATCTACACCTACGGCCCCAATTAATAATACCATTGAAGCCTTAACGCGGACAGTGACAGAGCTCAGCCAAAAAGTGGAAGCAATGAGTATGGAGTTACGTAAGCGTTCACGTTTACGCTCTAACGGTTCAAGAAAAAAATACCGCCCCCGTTCACGCTCACGTCCTATCGATCACCCGCATTGCTTCTACCACTACCGGTTTGGTGAAAAAGCACGGAAGTGTACTCAACCATGTACCTGCCAGAAAAAGGGAAACTACCAAGGCAGCCATTAGTGGCGGTAAACGACTGCCTAGCGATTTCGAGCCGCCTGTTCATTACGGACCGCAAAACAAAGGTGCAATATCTCATCGATACAGGTTCAGACCTGTGGGTCTTTCCGCGATCCGCTGTTCGGGAGCCACGAAACAAGACAAAGTACGAGTTGTTCGCAGCCAACGGAACAATTATCCCTACTTATGGCTACTTGCCATTAACAATCGACTTAGGACTTCGACGAGCTTTTACTTGGCGATTCACCGTAGCCGACGTCTCGAAGCCCATCATCGGCGTTGACTTTCTAGGTCACTACAACCTACTAGTCGATTGCCGTAACCAGCGTCTGATCGATGGCATAACGTCGCTCACAGTTGCTGTACCTCGTCATACTTCAACAGAGGCAATCTCATCTGTTCGAACAACCATCGAAGACTGCGCTTACCATCGTCTGCTGAGAGAGTTTCCCGACCTCACTCGTCCTGCTGGTAAGCAAAAGTTAATTAAACATTCAACGGTACACTACATCCGCACTACTCCGGGACCACCTGTAACCGGCCGTCCGCGTCGCTTAAACCCTGAGCGTTTGAAGATTGCAAAGCAGGAGTTTGGCGAGATGCTACAAAATGGCACAGCGCGCAGATCCGATAGCCCTTGGTCTTCACCACTGCATTTAGCTCGCAAGAAGAACGATGGCTGGAGACCTTGCGGTGATTGCCGTTCATTGAACGCACGCACAATCCCGGACAGGTACCCCATCACACACTTGCAGGACTTTACACAACAGCTGGCCGGAAGTACTGTCTACTCAACATTTGATTTGGTTAAAGCCTACAACCAGATACCAGTTTGCAAAGCTGACGTATGCAAGACCGCAATCACAACACCATTCGGCTTATATGAGTTCCCGTTCATGGCTTACGGCCTCAGAAATGCCACTCAAACGTTCCAGCGTTTCATGGACGAGGTTCTCCTGGGAATGGACTTCTGTTTTGGATACTTGGATGACATCCTGGTATACAGCTCTAACAGCACGCAGCATCAGCAACACCTCAGGCAACTTTTTCAAAGACTGACGGAATACGGCGTTCTAATAAATACCAACAAGTGTGTTTTTGGGCAGCCTGAGGTCAACTTCTTAGGATTCAAGGTTTCAGCAGCGGGAATCTAGCCAATGGATGCGAAGGTGCAGGTTATTCGAGAATTCTCTCCACCAAAAACCGTCAAGGAACTCAGACGTTTTCTTGGAATGGTAAACTTTTATCGCGGTTTAATACCAAATGCAGCTACCATTCAAGCTCCACTAAACCAAATGCTCACCGGCCCAAAGACGAAAGGTTCACAACCTATCAAACTGACGCCCGCTCTGTTGGAGGCATTTAATAACTGCAAGAATAGTCTTTCTGAAGCCACACTATTGGTACACCCTGATTCACAAGCAGAGATGGCGATTCATACAGACGCTTCAAATTCAGCAATAGGGGCAGTCCTGCAGCAATACCAGGACAGCGAATGGAAACCACTGGCATTCTTTTCCAAGAAGCTAAGTCCAAGCCAGAGGAAGTATAGTCCCTAAGATCGTGAACTTCTCTCCATCTACGAAGCCATCAAACACTTCCGCTTCATGGTCGAAGCACGAAATTTCGCGGTCATAACGGACCACAAGCCACTGACGTTTGCTTTTACAACGCACCGAACTAGCTGCTCACCACGCCAGTTTCGCTATCTTGACTTCATCAGCCAGTTTACTACGGACATCAGATATATTGCCGGAAAAGATAATATAGTCGCTGACACTCTTTCCCGCATTAATGAAATTTCTATGCCCTTAGACTACCAGTCCCTAGCCAGTGAGCAAGACACCGACAGCGAGCTACACGATCTGCAGAAGAACGGCTCTGCCCTGAAGTTGAAGAAGCTTAGGACACCGGGACAGGATCTGCAGATATACTGGGACGTCTCCACCCCGAGTCCACGGCCGTTTATCACACCTTCGTTCCGCAGACAGGTATTTAATGCACTACATAACTTGAGTCATCCAGGAGCGAAGGCTACTGTCAAGCTGGCGACGCAGAGGTTCGTCTGGCCTGGCATTAAGCGGGATTGTAGGCAATGGGCAAAGGAGTGCCAGCATTGTCAACGATCCAAGGTAGCTCGGCACACTTCAGCACCGCTCGCATCATTCATACTACCTTCACAACGCTTTCGGCATATACATCTTGACCTGATCGGTCCCTTACCATTATGTTCTGGGTACAGATACTGCCTCACGATTGTCGACCGCTTCACTCGTTGGCCTGAGGCATACCCACTCCAGGACATGACAGCAGAGACGTGCACCATCGCTCTAACAAATGGATGGATTTTACGCTTCGGATATCCAGAACACATCACCACAGACCGCGGTAGACAGTTCCTATCGCACAATTTCAAGGAGCTCGCTGCACTGGTCAGTGCAACACACCACACTACCACATCTTATCACCCAGCTGCCAATGGTCTCGTGGAACGACTGCACCGCTAATTGAAGTCCGCCATCACTTGCCACTCGTCTTCAAACTGGGCTGAAGTTCTACCATGGGTCCTGAACCATTCCGTTTGCCTCGACAGTTCTTTTCCCCAAATCCCAATACGGAGACGGACCCGACCAAAGTGGCTGGTAGACTACGCGCGCACGTCGGTAGATTGACCCCACAACCTACGTCTTGGCATGGCAGTTCCAGTCGAATATTTTATGTGCCCAAAGACCTCAGAACTTCGACGCATGTCTTCGTCCGCCAAGGTCCCGCAAGAAGACCACTCGAGGCACCCTACTCAGGTCCCTTCAAAGTCCTGAGACGTGACTCCAAAACATACGACGTAGAAATCCAGGGCAGGACACAAATGATCTCAATAGACCGCCTGAAGCCAGCGTATGTTGCCAGAGAGACCGCAGATACCATTCCACAAAACCTAAGAGACTATGGTCAAACTACCACCAAAACGACCAGAAGCGGACGCACAGTAAGGTTTCCGGATTACTATCGCCCGTAGTTACGGTCTCAACGGGGGAGTAGTGTGGCGAGTAAATTAGTAGCTAGAACGGACCTAAACATCACGCCACCCCTACGTCATACATCGTACGATAATCTACGTCATCGCTAAGCAACGCCCGCTCATTAGGGCGCATGCGTTCCCATTGGTCGTAGCGCCAGCAGAATTCGATGGCCGCCTGTGTACCTATTGTTCTTTTCGACGGCGGCATGGGTGGAGTTCAATGGCCGCTTGCGCATGTATTGTGTTCGCTGTGAATACGACCAATCAGTGTGTAGTTTAAGATAAACAACATATCGCGATTTTAATTATTATTAATTATTTTCACCTATATAAGCAATGTTTCCAATGCAATGATATACTATTGTGTACTCTTGTCTAACTTGTACTTGCGTGTCAATAAATATAGTTATTAGTGGTCTGCAGTAATTTATTTGCTAATTATAACGGCATATGATCCTACTCCTACGCACTTACAATGGTATTCGATTTTTAAAACCAAGGAGTTTTCAATTAAAAAGATTTTAATATGACAGGAACAGTGGAAATATTCCATTCCCTATACTTTTAGTGCAGCCTAGTACGTAAAAATATATTACTTAGGATCAGCTGCCTGACAATAAGTAATCAAGTAGCCACTAGGTTGGTTGGAGCAGCTACAAAGGTGCCGAAACAAGCAATTTGTTAAGATATGTGTTTTGCTCAGTACCATTCTCAAGAATGGTATTGAGTAAAACAGTTACTTATACAAAGCGCCACGTTGCAGGTGACACACAGAAACTGCGTACGCTTGTGGCAGACGCTACAATGGCCGCGTTTTCTTTGTTTCAGTTTCTCATTGAAGGGAAACTCTTTCGGGAAATGGCGAAGGATTTCCGTCGAGAATTTCACCTTCAAAGAGTGTGTCGGCTCCAACGGCTCCAACGTGATGACTCGCTGTTGGTCATGTTTTTCAAGGATTTTCTTGATAAGGGTTTTGCGGAATTGGCTGTGCGTGGCCACGCGAGGATGTGGATGTTCTGGTGCTGGGCTGTCTCTATGTAAAATGTACCCATTGAGCACGCTGGCGTTAAGTAGGCGGCGGAAAATTTTTTTGTACCATACCAAGGTTCGCTTCCTTTCGATGGGATACGCAGACAACATTTGGTCCTTTTTGTCTACACCGCCCATGCGGACGTTGTAGTCGTGGACCAATGTTGGTTTTGACTTCCCATCTCTGGAAGCTGAACCCGCGCCGTGGTACGTCGACGTCAAGGTGACAACGTTTCAGTCTTTCCAAACCAGAATATCAACATCCCCACTCGTGGCGCCGTGCACGCTGCCAAAAGCAAGAGGCTGTTTTATAAGCGCCTTTAAATTTGAGGGCACATTTTGCCTATTTAACCTTAGTGTTCCCACACAATCAAAACCTTGGCTTTTCAAAAGCCTAGAGAGAAGAGGACTATTATAGTAATTTTCCATAATTAAGTAGCTCGAGAACAAGGGGTGTAATATTCGAATAGCTAGGAGGAAGATTCGAATAGCCCCAGCTTATTCGAATCTTCCTCATTGCGACCGGCATGCATCTTAAATCGCCACAAATACCCCGAATTTGAGTCGCACACCTCGCAAGTTTTTATGCCCTTCGATGCTGCTTTGTTTTTGATAAATTGATTGATGCTTAGCCACCCCTTCCACTGAGTCAAAGACTCGTCCAATGCGATGCGTTGCCCCAATTGATAAAACGCTTGAAATTTCTCATTCAAATGCTTCACAATTGGGGCAATCTTAGCGATTTTCGCGCCGCTTTTGGAGAGGTGGCTAATATCAATCTCATTATTCACAAAGTGCAGCATCTGGCTAAGGGCGACAAATCTGGTGTATGTCATGTGAAGACCAAAATTCGGGGTATCGGTTACTTCGCCTTTGATGGTCCAGTATTCCCTGAGATTTGATTTAAAGGCAATGCCGGTCGCAAGGATCAAAGCAAAAAAGTCATACAGCTCGTCGGTATTTGTGTCTTTAAACATGGGCAGCCGGCTGTGAGGACCCATACTGCCCTTACTTAGCGCGGCCTCCAACGATTGCTTCGCGTACCGATTTGTTTCCGCAGCTATATCCTCCATTATGCTGCGGTCCCGAATTAATATGAAGGCTTCGTAAGGTGAAGCGAAATGTGAAACCGGCCCTACCGACCCTGTGAATTTCTCCCTATGCTGCTGGGGGGGAATTGCTGGTATGCGCAACGACTCTCAATCAAATTCCGCGAGCGAGTGTGGGCCCTGGGTTGCCGATGCAGCACTTACGGATGTTGATGGCGTGGATGTGGATGGCGCGGGTGTGGATGGCGGCGGGCTAATTGATTCCACCGATAATGACGGCTCGGTAGGCGGGTCCATCGGAGCATCGCAATCCATATAGATTTCGAATCTAAATAGATTCGTTCGTTTTGAGGACGCTGCATATATCCGAAGACATCGTCATCTTCGTCCACGTCCTCGTCATCATCTGGATCATTTCCTAAAGACAATAAGTTTAAATATGTTTAATTAATATATTTTCTACATGACTGCTTCCTTTCGATTAACACTAAAAGTCAGTGACTTACCGTAGTTCACAAGATCCGCCAGCTCCGGATCGTCCACATTATAGACCAGCTTCCGTTTATGACCACCAGACCTAAAACAAAACAGACACATTAATACAGAGCTTGACAGTAACAGTATGGGAATTGATGGCTATTTCACTTACACGGACGAAGAGGGGTTTACAGATACACCCTTCGGGGTATCTGACGTGTTCGGAATCTCCATGAACCTAAAACGAATTTGTACAATTATTACTGAACAGCCATGTAGCAGCAGCAAGATACAAATATACGTGCCTATTTAACTTACTCGGCTGGTGAGGGCACCTGCGACGCATATGCCGAGGGTCTGGGGTCCGCAAGAGTGCCGAACTTGCGATCGATCTGTAAAAAGTTGACATGCAATACAGAGCTTGACAGTAGCAATATGGAAATTGATGGCTATTTCACTTACAAAGTCGAAGAGGGCCTAGGACTTACACCCTGCGGGGTATCTGGCCTACTCGGAATCTCCATGATTCTAAAACGAAATTTGCACAATTATTTAATGATTTCTTATATTTACGCGAACACTACACATTGATTAAAACTACTTTTACTAATTTTATCGCGTTTATTTTACTATTATTTTTAATGCCCGACGTTTCGGGCGCTTTCCAGTACCCATGGTCACGTGGACTGAAATGACTGACGTCCCGATGTCATTGTTAAACCCGGAGTACCTTCAGCTTTTTTAATTATTGTTTATGGTCCGATCTACGCGAAATGAACTGACTATGTCCTGAGGTCTTGCAGTGGTATGCTTGAGATGAAACTACATACCGAAGTGTCAAAACAGACCCTACAACTAATACGCTTAAAACAACTAGCGATCTAATTAAGAAATACTCCGAGAAATTGAATCTGGACGTTAATTCGATAATACCTTCATATGCCAAACCACCGAAGTTGTATGGGTTACCAAAAATACACAAACCGAACGCTCCATTACGTCCAATAGTGAGTCAGATTGATTCGCCAACTTACAGATTGGCTCAATACTTAGCTAAAATATTATCACCACTCAGAGGACACACAAGAACACACACTAAGGATTCATACCATTTTGTCAGTGAGATAAAAGACCTACGTCTTACTGACAATGAAACCATGGTCAGTTTTGATGTTCAGTCTCTATTTACATGCCTACCTGTTGAAGACTGCATCTCAATTATAACTAGGAAACTAGAGGAAAATAATATGCCAGCAGAATATGCAGTATTACTCAGACATTGCCTTACATCTGGCTATCTATTGTGGAAGGAAGAGTTTTACAAGCAAGTAGATGGTATTGCGATGGGCTCACCTGTATCTCCCATTGTCGCCGATATATTCATGGAAGACTTTGAGGAGAAAGCCATCCTTACTGCACCTGTTACACCAAGGATCTACAAGCGGTACGTAGACGATACTTTCACAATTTTACCATCAGACAAAGTAACTGCATATTTAGAACATCTTAATTCCATAAACTCTAAAATTCAATTTACTATGGAGTTAGAGGCAAATAATTCCTTACCTTTCTTCGATGTGTTAGTCATCCGAAATCCTAACAACGCAATTGGTCACACTGTGTATAGGAAAAAGACCCATACAAACCGATACTTAAACGGTGAATCTCACCACCATCCTTCACAGTTAGCTACCGTGGGCAAATCTTTGTTACAGAGAGCACGAGGGATCTGTGACAGCAAACACCTGGCCGCTGAGCTTCAGCACGTCAAGCAAGTTCTGCACGACAACAAGCTTCTGGTCCCGCGCCTACGTCACAGTGACCGAGTGAAGCCGGCCACAGTCGAGCGTGTGCCTGCTGTACTACCATATGTCAGAGGTGTCACAGACAAGATTGGCTACATCTTGAAGCGAGCTTCTATTAGAACATTCTACAAGCCGCCGAAGAAGATTAGTCAGTTCCTACCATCAGTCAAGTGTCATATTCCTCTACAAGATGCAGGCGTGTACAAGCTTGATTGTGAATGTGGTCTCTCTTATATAGGACAAACAAAATGATCAATTAGAACCCGCGTAAAAGAACATATAGCTGATGTGAAGCATCAACGTTCCGGGAAGTCTGCAGTTTGCGATCATATCCTAGACGGCCCCAACCATTACATCAGATTTGATAGACTACAAATCCTCGCGAAAGAACACCGATTCCTATCAAGGATGATACGTGAGGCTATTGAAATTAAAAAACATCCTAATTTCAATAGAGAAGGAAGGCTGGGTACTACCACCTGCTTGGGATCCTATAATCAATAAAATTAAAACTAAACCCAAGCATACACCTGCAAGACCTCAGGACATAGTTCATTTTGCATAGATCGGACCATAAACAGTACAGGTACTGGAAAGCGCCCGAAACGTCGGGAATTAAAAATAATAGTAAAATAAACGCGATAAAATCCGTAAAAATAGTTTTAATCATTGCACAATTATTACTGAAAAGCTCTGTATCAGCAGAAAGGTATAAATATATGTGCCTATTTAACATAGTCAACTGGCGAGGGGACCTGCGACGTAGACGCCGAGACCGTGTCCGCAAGTGTGCAAAGGTCGCGTTAGATCTGTGAAAAGTGGACATGTAATATACAGCTTAACAGCAGCAAAAAAACTTACTCAGCCAACGACGGCGCAGACTGGTTGGGAACCCAACGCCGTGGCACTTTTTGGTGCATGGGTTTCTCGAGTGGGCTCCCAACACGTACCGTCGTGGAGTCTGGATCCGTCGTAATGATGTCCCCGACATATAACGGCGATCTATTAAAACAGTATATTACAAAATCAGCTGCAGCTGCATAAACATAAATATGTACTTGGTAAAAATAAACACACACCTTTCAATTTCATGCACTCGCCCTCGACCACCTCTTGTTCGTGGTCCACGTCCCTCCCCCCGTTGTTGACCACGTCCCTCCCCCCGTTGTTGACCACGTCCAACCCCTCTATTTACACCGCGTCCACTCCCACGTCTACCTCCTCGACCAACCACCGCTTTACCACCTCCTGTTCTTAAGCCATGCAAGGAAAAGGAGCTTAAATAATTAAAAAAAGTTTTAACATCATACGACACAAAAAAAATCACAAGAAATTCAAAAAATGAAATGTCTCTCTCTTTCGGGAGACCACAAAAGAAGTACTAAAATGAAATTTACACGGGTCAGGGTTTTTTAAATTTATATATTTTATTTTTATTTCATTATATTAAAATTACACCTAAATAAAAAAGCCTCATTGAAATCGCGTGATACATTTATGCACTACGAATATAAGTACAGACAGACAGAGACATTTTCTTGCCGCCATTTTTTTTATTGCACCTAAATTTTCCCAGGGTGTACATTATTTTACACCCCTCTTTTTGCGGTTAAAAACAATAAAAAGCAATTCAAATTTATAAACATTATTTTACGGTAGCGCAGTCTTATCTATACTGTGTTACTAAATAAAAATCCGCCATTTTGGAGTACAATGACACTGCTTGATACCAGTCATAATATGACCGGGCAGTCCCTGCAGTACATTTGCCGTAAAATATTCAAATTAAAATGAATTTAAGGAATTCTGCACATAACTATTGTTTGTTTATGTAATTATTCACTCAAAACAACAAAAACAATTCCAACAAATCAAGAATTATTATGTAAAATATAAATAAATATGTCGGCATACCGGCAAAATGATGGTAGTAATCAAAGAAAATATTTGTTTACCCTGAATTACAGGCACGAATCTGAATAACTTTGAGATAAAACGAAAAATCACGAGCCATACTGCCCTGCTCACACGATCCAAAACATCAATTGGTTTAAGAAAACAGACTTGAATTCGGAGCTTGCGACACGGTCATAATATGACCGGTATCAAGTAAGGGCTTACATTTTGCGGTCATATTATGACCGATATCAGGTGAGGGGTAATGATAATAAATTTCAGTAAACAATTGATTATCTTGTGTAACAGTTGTTGACGTAACTGCGCAACTCAAGATACGGGCGACAACTGCGTAAGCGCGGGTGAGATTATAAACTCGGATCTCCAAAATAATACCCTTCTTTTTTATACATAAGCATTAAATATAAGTATGTAACAAAAAAAAATTTTGAACGAATTTGAATAGAACTGTGATTTTTGCTTGGCCTAAAGTGAAAGTTCGCTGTCGGTCAGCACTAACCGCGTTAGTAGAGAACGTGATTTTATGTTTATTATTTATATGTAATAAAGTACTACCTACCAGCTCTTATTTCCAAGTATTTTCTGTAACATCACTGCATTTTACAATTACTTTCACCATGGAAGCACTGAAAGGTTCACTAATGGAGATGTCAAAGTCATTCCAAAGTCAAATAACTTTCAACGGAAACTGCAACAATCTAATTCTGCTGCCACAACTTCATCTTCCCTACCAGGTGATTTTGATGCTTTTAGAAATTTCATCTTGGCTGCTTAACATCTTTGCATAACCATGTAGATCTTCTGGGAAAAGAACTAGATCGTAGTGAAATGCGTCGCCGCAGAAAGGTGATCCTACTCCATGGAGTTCCTGAAGAAAAATTTGAGGATACTGCCGCCTTCATAAGTACACTTATCAGAACGAAACTCCTAGTCTCAGGTTTCAATAAAACATCCATAGGCCGTTGTCACCGTCTGGGACGCCCTTCCGATAAATCTTACAGGCCTGTGGTTGTCAAATTCAGCGATACTGTGATGCGAGACAGGATTTGGTACTCCAAAACCAAACTTAAGGGCACTGGTATAACCCAGTCGGAGTTTCTAACAAGGAGGCGCCACAGCGTTTTTCTAGAAGCTAGGCGAAGGTATGGCATCACCAAATGTTGGAACAGGGATGGAGTTATCAACAGTTTTACTCCAGATGGCACAAGGTACCAGCTTGAGATTTTGTTTGAGCTTGATGCATTATGCAACGGGTCAGCTTCTGCCTCACCTGCTTATCCTATTATGGTTGAGGCAAATTAGGCCCCCGAAGGTAAAGGTGCATCACAGCGTACTAAGAGAGCCGGTAAAAAATGAACTTTCTTCTTTATAATAACTTAATTTTGTATTTTAATTCTTATTGTTATAACTTTTCTCTGGACCTTATTTTTTTTATTATCGTATTTTCATTACTTTTTCTTGTTCACCGTTGATTAGATAGTAAAATGTAATGATTAATAATCTCTCTTTGGAATGTTTATTATTTAGTGTTATAATTTTTCTTGTATGGTTGCTAATTGTTATTATAATATTTCTTTGGAATGTTTATTATAAGTGTAAAAGTTTTGTAAAAGATAATTGCTAGTTAATGTACTGTCACTTTGACATTTTGACTCATGACCCCTCTCACTTTTTTGTCTATGGTATTGTTGCGCGCTACAATTAGCGCCTGGTATGTGGCGGCTGATTATTAGCGCCATCTGGGATAAAGCAGCAGAAATAGGAGCGTCAAGATCTTTCTAGAACTCTCCACTAGCGCCATCTAGTATCGAATAGAAGAACTAAGCTTTCTAGAAAACTTCACACTCGAACTTTCTAAACCTAATCGGGCGGGATCGGTATTTGCTGGAATAATCTGGATGTTTCGGTGGAAAAGGCCTATAGAAAGTCGGTAAAATCCGCGACCAGGGTAGAATTGAATTGGCGATATGAGCGAAGCTTTTGTAGTGAAATAAAGTGAACTAAAGTGTAAAGTGTGAATAATTGTTAGTGTGATTTAATTTTTAATTAGTGTTCAGTAATTAAAGTGTCAATTTTGGTAATTCAATCGCAAAAGTTTTTATTGTCACGAACCCTAAGCTCGTAACAGTATGGTAACGTTCCGTTTCTTCACTTATTGTTAAGTGCACCATACATTTCTTTCCATAATGATGGCAGGTAGTTTACTGATGACTTATTTATTTTTAATTATTTATTTTATACATATTTGATTCGTAACGACCGTACGGATCGGGGTGGTGGTGGTGTTGCTATTTATCTGCGCTCTCATATACCTTTTTCAGTAATTCAAAATTTCAAATGGTTCGCAGACTGGAAGTGAAGTTGAATTTTTCTTTATTAAAGTTCTTCTCGGTCATACAAAATTACTTTTTGGAGTCTTTTACAGCCCCTCTCTCACTGTCGACTATTTCACCATTTTAGAAAATATTCTTGACAATCTTACACCTATCTATTGTCACAGTATTATTGTTACGCCGCGCTCAAATCGGCGCACTAGCGCCATCTAGTCTCGAATCGAAGAACTAAACTTCTTGAAGTTTAAAACTCGAACTCTCGGTACCTTGCGCGTGTTTACTTGAACATTCTGGATATTTTGCTAATTTATATAAGTAGGCGCTGCAAGATGCGATCGTAGTAGAGTTGAACTCGGCGACACAAGCGAAGCTTCGGAGCGGAATTAAGTGAATTAGTGTGTTTAATTATTAGTGTTTTTAGTTTTAATTTGTGTAAAGTAAATTAAAGTGTTAATTTAGGTAATTCTATCGGCAATTTTTATTGTCACGAACCCTAAGCTCGTAACAATTGGTGTCAGAAGTGGGATAAAATAATGCCGATTTTACCTAAGGAGGAAACGGAGGGTGTCCGTACCCGAAGTCAACGCCAGCAGGAGACGGACCAACGAAGATTTGGTGGTGCAACGCCGCAGACGTCGGAGGGACAGTCGCCGGCTGCAGGCCCGTCAGTAGCTCCTACATCTGCAGCACCCGACTTAGATGCTCTGATGGTGATGCTGCAGGAGCAGGCTCGCCGACAGGAGGAACAGGTCCGTCAGTTAAAAGAGCAGCTGCAGAGCGGACAAGAGGAACAGGTCCGCCGACAGGAGAAACAGGCCCGCCGACAGGAGGAACAGGCCCGCCGACAGGAGGAACAGGCCCGCCGACAGGAGGAACAGGCCCGTCGGTTGGAAGATCAGCAGGCGGAACAGGCTCGTCGGTTGGAAGAGCAGATGCTCCTCATGAAGGACCTTCACGCTACCTTTGGGAAAGAGATAAGGGAGGTGAAGGATAGGGTTGCTCAACATGACAACCGCCTGTCGGAAGCTGAAACCCGAATCGAAGAACATGAGACCCGAATCAACCATGTGAACAATCGGGTTGACAACGTGATGGCTGACGTGAAGAAAACGCTGAAGGACCTCAAACTTGTGGATGGAACGACAGCTCCCGTAGTAGCTACAGCACCCATCGCTACGTGGGTTCAAGGTGCCACCGTTCGACGGGACTTCTTCCTGGTCAGCCTACAAAATCCAGTTCGAGGCTGTTATGAAGGCGAACGGCTGGAATAAAAGTCAGGCCATGACTGCTCTCACACTAGGCCTGCGCGACCAGGCCTTAACAGTTCTGGAAGCTCTCGGTGAGGAAGTGACTTATGAGCAACTTCTTGAGGCATTGGAGGCGAGATATGGCGACGCTCACCTGGAACACGTCTTTCGTGCGCAGCTTAAAGATCGCGTGCAGCGCATCAACGAAAACCTGCAGCAGTGGGCTCTAGAGGTGGAGAAGCTGGTGCGAAAAGCATACCGGTCTGTACCTGCGCTCATTGAAGGGAACCTGGTGCAGACATTCATCGACGGCATCCGCGACCTGGAAGTCAGAGCTGCTGTGAGGCTCGGGCACCACGAGACGCTTAAGGACGCCTTGGTCCATGCACTGGAAGTGGAAGCTGTGCGGCAGGATCATCGTTCCCATCGCGTCAGGGAGGGCGCAGCAGCTGCAGTTCGCGACCGCAACAAAGGATACAGCCCAAGGTGCTATGGCTGTGGGGAAAAGGGCCATCTTCGATCCAGCTGCCCTAAGCGAAGCGCAGAAAGGGAAAGTGAACGATATCAGGAGGGTAGTGCAGCTAACGGCACTGCCTGGCGGCGACAGGATCGTCGTTCACCTTACGCTAGGGAGGTTGCAGCAGTTACGGTTCGCGACCACAATAGAAGATACAGCCCTAGGTGCTATGGCTGTGGGGAAAGTGGCCATCTTCGGTCCAGCTGCCCTAAGCACACCCTAGGAAGGGAAGGTGAACGGTCTCAGAAAGGAAGTGTGGCTAA